TTTCTTTCTTTCTTTCTTTCTATCTATCTATCTATCTATCTATCTATCTATCTATCTATTTATTTATCAAATTTGTCATTGCCCATCTCATTGAAATGACTCCGGGCAGTTTACAAAACAGTTAAAACCAATTAAAATTACAAAATTACAATATAGTATTATTAAATAGAAAATAAACAGATCCAAGAATAATGGACAGTCACTCGGGGAGCATCATCAAGGCACCATCCACCCCCAGGATTGGGTAAGATTGTTGTCACCCCATGCAAGGTGTCAGAGCCAGGTCTTTAATCCTTTCTGGAAGGCCAGGAGGGTAGGGGCCCACCACACCTCTGGGAAGAGTATTCCAAAGAATGGCAACGTCAGAGAAGACTCTCCTCCTGGGCTCCGCCAGCTGAAATTCTCTCGCTGACAGGGTCCACAGCATGCCCTCTGTGCCTGACCGGGTGGGTGGGGGTTGATGTGATGGGGGTGAGATGGTCCCGCTGGATCCATGCCATGTAGGCCTTTAAAGGTAATAACCTACATTTTGCATTGGACCCGGAAGCAGACTGGAACCCAATGCAGCTCGTGCAGTAAAGGCGTTATATGTGCCATTTTTGGGGCACTCAAAATTGTCTGCGTGGCTGCATTTTGAACCAGCTGTAGCTTCCAGATACTCTTCAAAGGTAGCCCCATGTAAAGTGCATTGCAATAGTATAGCCGAGAGATGACCAGGGCGCGAGTGACTGACCAGAGAGCTGCCTGATCCAGGCCCCTTTCCTGGCGTACCACACGAAGGTGGGTAAAGGCCCTCCTGGCCATGACTGCCACCTTCTCGAGCAGGAATCATGAGTCCAAGAAGACCCCCAGATTACGCACTTGGTCTGTCGGGGGCAGTGCAACCCTGTCCAAAACCAAAGATGGTAAATCCTTGGGTACAGAGGGGCCTCCAATCCATAGCCACTCCGTCTTACCAGGGTTCAGCTGAAGCCTGGTGCACCCCATCCAGACCCCCACAGCCTTCAGGCAACACATTTTTCTTTAATTCCATAGTGTTAGAGCTTGTACAATCTAAATTTCACCCCTTCAAGGCCCTAATTGTGTTTCTAATGCCACCTTGTAAATGGAAATAGGCTTCATGAAAATGGAGGCTGGAGTGCGGGTGGCCGTGTTCAATTATCGGCTCAGACTTTCTTTCCCCTTGGCCTAGCCCCACTAACTTCCAGTCCACATGAAAACATGCAGAGGCAACTAAAATCTCATCTTTGGACTTCTCTCCAGATCATCATCTCAGCATGGAATATGATAAAGCCAAAGCATTTATCAAACAGCACATAATACATATAGAGTGCTAGATGGACCTAGGAAGGGACCAAACCTCCTTGCCAGTGTACTCAGACCCTTATTCTGCCTCCCCTATGGCATACATAAATAAACTGGAAGTCTCTAAACACGAAAGGATCTTCACTCTGGCGGGATGTCATGCCCTCCCCTCAGCTGTCCATGAAGGCCAATACAGGAAGACTCCCTCCTTGAAATGGCAGTGCCCTTGTGACTCTGGATATGAAGAAATAACAAAGCATGTGCTTAGTTTTTAATTTCTATTTCTTTTATACTTTCTATGTATAGAAAGTATAACATAGCTCTTTATAACTTCTTTTAAATTTTTATGTTTTATATCCTGTATATATGTTTTTAGATTTTGTATTTTTAATGCTTCTTTTTAATGACAGTATTCCATCCCCTTATGCTGGGCTATGATTGTGATAAAAGTTGATTGACTGACTGACTGACTGACTGAAGGTTACTTGAGAAGAATATTCAAGAACAGCTATTGCCTGGTTGCTATGTGCTTTTGTACAATATTTTGCTGACAGACTTGTTCAAATTTGCCAGTCTTGATGCCTCATGTGTGGGGTCTTAAGTGGGGCCTGGGGCAATATTTTGCGCTATCATCTGGGATCCTTTTTTGCTCTCTGATGAAGTAGATAGGGCATGAGCTTCACTACCTGCCATTTAGACCCATGCTTAAGTCAAAGTGGGGTATGGGTGGCTCCTTTGACCTGGCCTGGTGGGGTGTGAGGAGGTAACTCCCTCTTTGTATCGGATGCCTTTAAGGAGAGACTGGTGCCTTCCCTGTACCCAGCTGTTTTGAACAACTGCTACCCTGTCTCCAGACTACTTCTTAGAGCATGTTATTGAGAATGTGGAGTGGTTTCTGCTGCAAAGAGCTCTACAGAAAAAGGATTATCTGGACTTCTGTTTGGTTCCAAGTATGGGACTTAAATGGCATTGGTTACTCTTGTAATGATTTTTATCAGGACCTGGATTGGATAGTGCACCCTCCTGGCCCTGTTTGATGTCACAGTGTCATTTGATACCATCAACCAGGTTATCATGAATTATTTACAAGGCTTGGGAATTAGAAATATTTTTCTGCAGTGATTCTTCTCTTTTCTAAGTGGAAAATTCCAATCTGGTGGTGGTGGGCACTCCTATGTAGAGTCCATAGGATTTGATTTTCTCCCCACTACTTTCCAATATTTAAATGAGCCTGCAGGATAAATTAGTGCAGGATTAGTATAGTGCTATCTCAGGGTGAGCCAGAGATGTTTTGGGAGTAATGACCTGGTTATTAGAGATTGTGGGGGTATGGTTGGAATGAAACAAGGAAATTAAACCCTAAGACAGAACTGTTTGTCCAAAATTCATCTGATTTTTTGTCCCAGTTATAACTCTGGGTGGGTGGGATTCCCCCTAAAAGAACAGGTGCATGAGGGGTGTCCTGGACTCACAAGTGCTGCTGTCAGGCCAGGTAAAGGCTGTGGTTGGGAGGGAGCAAGAAGTTTTACCTGGGGCAAGACAACCTAGTGATGGAAACTCATGCCCTTATCACTGCCAAGATACACTACTGCAGTGTACTCTGCATAGGGCTATCTTTAAAGATTAAATAGAAACTGCAGTTGGTGCAAAATGCAGCTGCCTACATGCTGGCAGGTGAGAACTTGTGTGATATGACACCAATATTGCAATCACTACATTTGTTACCAGTAAGTTTCCAGGTACAATTCAAATTGGTTTTGATGTTTGAAACTCTGTATGGCTTGGCTCCTATCTCCATTCAGAAGTGCCGCCTTCAGGTAGAAACACCACATTCTATGTGCTAATCCCAACTGGAGAAATTATCTATCCTCTGCATGAGAAAGGTCAGATTAGTCGGGGCTTGAGGGCAGTATTTCTCAATTATGACCGCCACCTCTTTCCTTCTGGCCCCTTTCCTTCCTTCTGAGGCTGGTTTGGCACAAACTTTAACATCATTTCACAAAGCAAGGGAAACTGAGCCATTCCTTAGGGGTTTGGAGACTTAAGGCTACCAATAGTGATGATGTCTACAGCTGGTATGGTTAGATGTGATAGTTATTTTATAGATAATCAAATGTTTATTTACCGTTAATACTGTTTATTGTGTATTGCTCTGTCTTATTATTGTAAACTGCCATGAATTTATAAGATGCAGCAGTAAATAAATTCAGTAAATAAATCCATGGATTTCAACTGAATCATGCTGGATAAAAGGAGAAAAATGAAGAATCACACCTCCACATTTTAAAATAAGTAAGCAACTGTGGACAATGACTAGAACTGCAAGCAGAGGTTGTGGTGATGGAATGAGCAGGTTAACTCTTTCACTTCAGATTCCTTTCTCTGGTCTCCAACACCTGCAGAGGAAAGTCTACTGGTTCTTACAATGTATGTGTATATTTTCTTCTTTAGAGGAAATAGCAGCTGTGGAGTGATGTACAGTATATTAGGGGAAGATTAATTGTCCTATCTTTTACTGTTTTGTCAAATTTTCAATTATTTTGCTTCTCAGTGGAATTAGGATTTAGTAAAGTCATTTAATTTTAAACAGAAATAATGGAAATGTATCCAAAGTCAAAAGCTGGGATGTACAAACTGTTGGGATGCAGATTTTCTAGAACTCAGCATTATTGTGATGTTCTATTCATAAAATCAACCTACGTCTTTAGGTATGATCTTAATTTATCCATCTGATTAGTATTGGTTACATTGGCTGCAGAGTTTGTCTGTTTTATCTTGCTAAGTCTCCTCTTGCATAATATTCTTTAAGACAGTCTTCTATAAGCGTTCTATAACTCCCAAACTCTCTCCTAATGGAGAACAAATTACACTTGAAAACTGAAAGATGGAAATGTGAGTATTCATTTGGATTTTTCGTACAAAGTTTTGTCGTCTTGTGATATATATATGACTGTCTTTACAGTTGTTGATTTGACTTGTATGTAATAAAACTGAGCTCTTGATAGAGTAGACTAGAACAATAACATCTCATTCGTATATTTATTGCATTCAGTGGGTAATATGTATAGGGATGTGATCTATTTTGCATCTGCTTTGTGGGAAGGTAAAGCCAAGGTCAAAACATTCTTTTCTTAATTCCAGTAAGCATCGTGTCCTGTTGTTTTCACAAATGACCCAAATGTTAGATATTCTACAAGACTACATGGATTATAGAGGTAAATGTTTTTGATGTAGCTGGATTTATTTTCAGAATTTCTATTCTTGGGAATAAAACAATGCTTTGTATAGGAAAATCCTAAACAACTGGTTTCTTGCCTATGATTGTGGATTCTTTGCATGCTCACCTGGGAATTCCCAGACATGAATTGTAGGGTAGCCCATTTGGAGTCTTCTAAAGCTTAGACTATCATTTGGTGGGATCCTTGATCCCACATATATCATATGACTAGGGATGGCTATTCAGTTTCTAAAGTCATCACAGTGGATCTGAATGAACAGAGAAATTATCAGAGATCAAGTAGGGTAGGCTGTGTGAGTTCACATATGTCTACTCAATAACTGCAGTTACAGGTAAGAAACATTTTCATCGTGGTCTATTTGATTTAGATAAATGGGTGATTAGAAGACTTCTTTCTGGTTGTCAGATGACAACCCTTCTAAAGGTTGCATCCCTTGGGGAGCAATGATCAACTGCATAATGCTGGGTGTGGCATAATGCTGGGTAAAAGTCTGAGTCTATATAACTGTCCAGCATAGCTCTAGAAGAGAATGCAGTGGAGGAAGACTGCCAGTATTGCTACTGTAGAATGAGCACAAATTAGACAGCCCAACTATTTGGCCATCTTGCAACAAAACCTGGTGGTTGTGATTAATCATTTGGAGAAGCGCTCAAGGAAATCCTTATGGCCTTTAGACAGGCTCTTAAAGCCAGAAATAAACTTGGGTTCTAATGTAATAGTTTCATGTGGTCTGGGTGCAAAATTAATTAACAAATGATGTCATGTTTTGAACAGAGTTGAAGCAGGCAGGCAGTATTATGTCATGATTCAAGTAAAAAACAGAAAATAATTTTGGAAGGAAAAATCTTAGCAAAAAGCCACTTTTGATGCAAAAAAAGAGGGAGATTCTAGACTCATAGTCCACCAGCTTTTCCAAGTCAGGAAATTGTAGAAGGAGTAGCCATGTTAGTCTTTGTGGCAAAAGATCAGGAGAGGTCTTGTACACCTTTTCCTACCAACAAATGTTATTAAAAGGCATACGCTCACTTCTTCAGATACATAGAGTAGCTAGACTGAATGTAGAATTTAAACTGAGGTAAGGAAGGGAAGATAGGTTGGTTATGCAGATGTAGGTTAGATATAAGACATATTAAAATTACCTTATCAGTTAAGAATTGTAATACGTAAAAAACCCATTGTGTTTGTTGAGACCTTGTTTTGACCTTTTTTCTTGTGTTTGTTGATATATGTGAGTTCAGCAACTTCTTGCTGAGTGGTAGAGTTAAAGCCCCAGTTTTTCACTCTGCGCATCTGATGAATTGAATTGCAGCTCATGAAAGCACTTTTATGCCTCTTAATTAAGTCAGAAAAGGTGCTACCAGATTCCTTGATTTCAAATCAGGAAACAGACACCATAAGAAATATTAGAACTCTTCATTGATATAGGCTATAAATAACAGAATGTTGAAAGCTTTGATAGTATTTCTCCTTCCCTCCCTCTTATACAGTCAAGGCAGAGCAATTTTGAGTTTCTTATACTTTCCCGTTTTCCCTGGCTAAGCTCATGTTTTACTAACTACATACTTTTTTCAAGGCTGTCTCCATGCTGCTGTACACTTTAAAGCTTCCTCTCAGAGTGGCCATGAAGAGAGAGGAACAGTTACAACCCTGATTTGTAATCTCTTGGCAGTGCTTGATTTTTGCTGAGATTAAAAAAATATAGTTTATGCCCATTCAGAAAGGAAAGTGTTTGTCTAGTGCTATTGCTGAAATGAGCCCCTAAAAACCATAAGACTAAAGTTGGATGCCTACAAAGAGTCCACACAAAGCACCTAAGGAGATCCAGGATGATTGAGAAGACCAATAATATACTAAAATAAATAAATAGGTACACAAATAGGTAGGTAGATATATAAATAACCCCTTGATAAGAATAACAAGCTTAATGATGAATATCTTAGTGGTGATCAAAAGCAAATAATTGTGTAATAGGTCATTAGAAGGAGAGTAAATGGGATACTGAATGATGCCTAGGATAGGCAGAGCTCATGCAAGAAAATAGGAATAACAGATCTCTCATGAATGACTATTTAATTATGTTTTTTAACTGAAAAGGTTACAGCTATGAGCGCCTGGATGGATCTGTCCGAGGTGAAGAGAGGCATCTTGCCATTAACAACTTTGGTCAGCAACCTATTTTTGTTTTCCTTCTGAGTACCAAGGCAGGTGAGACAAATTTACAAAGGGACAAGGCTGCTGAGATGTGTACCCTCTCCCACTCCACAAATGTTCCCCTGCTGCCTTTGTGAATGGTGAATAGAGGTACATACAAAATGGAATGAACTGAATACAGCTTCATTTAACCAAATGGCTTTGTAGTGATGCTGAGGCCACCCAAGATGGAAGACTAGAGGTCCCAAGCCTCCTTTCCCAGAATACCTCTGGGGTTTCACATCCTGGTCCCACTTTCTGCTTTGGGAATACTGTCTGCCTATAGCATGGCTTTTCTGTGTGCTATGCTAGGTATTCTGTTAATTGGAAAGCTAATAGTGGGCTACTGGTAGCATTCTGAGATGATCTGTAATTGGCTATATATCATAATCTGAGAAGTTCTCATTCCTTGTAAGTGAGACCCTCTACCACTTGTATTTATAGCTTGGCTCAAAAAACTTTCTTTCCTGTCCATATTGTAGATCTCCTTTACAGTAATACCAAAGCATTTCTATATTGCCTTCTGTACCAGAAAGGGAGGTACACAGTGTGACCAGCCTCATACTTCCATTAAGAAGTCTTTGTTATTTGGCTAGCCACTGTTGATATATATATTTTTATTAAAAGATTTTAATTACAGTAATAAAAACTAAAACAAATTAAACTCAGAGAAAGGAAAATAAAAAGGGAGAGTAAAAAGTGCAAAGAAAGAAAAAGTAAAAAGGAAAGAAAAAGGAAAGAATGAAATAAAGAAAAAAAAATATAAAAAGTGATTTCCAATCTTCATCACAAGTATAAACCAGTTTGGTAGCTCTCCACCCCCTATAAGGCTACAAACAAATATCTCTTCTTCCCATAACCCATCCCTTATCTATAAGCAAATCCATAAGACATCAACTTCTCAGTCCTGATGTCAGCAAAAAGTCTGTAAAGGGTTGCCAGAATTTCATAAAAACATGTCTTATTTTAACCTTGATCAAATAAATCAACTTTATATTCCTTCCTTTTACCTCTGAAAATCTTAATCTTTAGTTCATTCAAATATTGCCATAGAATTTGATCGCAAGGTTTCTTCGAGGCTTTAACAAGCCTCTTTTGTAAATCTAATAAAAAGACATCCAGGTCATTTTCTAGGTTTATCATTTGCATTTCCCCTTTAATTTTTTAAAACTTCAACCAGCTTCTTTTGTATATCCAGTAAAGAGTCCTTATCCAGGTCATTCTCCTGGCCTGCCACTTGTATTTCCACTTTAAATACCTTCTTGTAATCCACACTATTTTTTATCCAATATTTGATTCCACTATTTTTGCATCAAGCAAGATTTGTTTCACATCTGTCATTCCTTCATTAGCATCCTTTAAACATAGTCTATCCATACAAGCAGGCATTATTACTAATATTGTTGATATTGTGGCTACTAATTTCTGGCCCCATTCTTCAAAGTAATATTTCAAATGTTATAGTGTTTTATGTCATTTTGTAAATCCCAATCCGAATCAAAACCAAAGGCAGATTTTTTTCTTTTTGCCTGGAATCTTTAGTCCCCTCTAGTGTCTAGTTTAAATCATTAGGTCTCTAATCTTTGTTATGACTTACAGCAGACAAAATAATTCTGATTCCCACAAAAAGCTGTTTATTTTATATAGTTAGTTCCACAATCTTATAGTAAAAGTTTCAATATTCCAAATTTGTCTGGATCCTTAATTCGTTTATAACTTTCTTGGCTCAAAACCTTATTTAGCGTTTTGCCATTTATTTCAGATTATTTAAGTTCTTAAATGTATAGTTAATTTGTCATTCTGAAGATTTCTAATACCCTTAAGATAGTTAAATAGGCAATTTCTGAAAGTGATTAGAAGTGAAGTGTGAGCTTGATAATTGATCCATTTGTCTCCCGGTACTCAAACCTGCAGGGGACCGCTGTCCTGTGGTCTCATTGTGAGGAGCAGCCATCCAGAGCACATGTGGGCAATCTCCCATCCTCTCCTTGTCCGGAGAGATTCCAAAGAACTAGTCTACTCACTGGTTCTTTGGTCTTTGCTGCTGCATCGTCTCTGCTCTTCATAGAAACATATTTAGCTTGCCGTGCCTCCACCGGAAGTCCAGCTAGCCACTGTTGAAAATGATGTGTTGAGCTATTTACTCTTTCTTTATTTTAGCCAATTCAATTTACTAAATATTTGATTAGATATTTTAGTTATATTGACCACCAGGAGGCACCACATGACCAGTTTTGTCCTTATTGAGACTCCTCAGATGTGGGTAGGAATTAATATCTGGCTACTCATGTCTGAGGAATCCCAATAAGCACAAAACTGGTCATGTGTTGCCTCCTGGGGGTCAACATAATTGAAGATTCCCCACAGGATATGCATAAAAATAAAGAAATTTGGAAGTCATGTAAAACCCAGTACACTATAGCATGACATAATTTAAGTTCTGTATTTCTCTGCTCTGAGAATTTAAAGAAAGGTGGAATGTATATACCATTATGATAGTTTTTTGATTAGATATTAAAATTACTTAAGCAAGATGTTTGGAAAGAGTCTTCAAAGAAAGGAAAGGGGATTAAAGCTTACTTAGAAGACCCAAAGTTGGTTGAAGAGGCAGGTCTCTCATATAATGAAGACACAATGGGCCACCCACAGATGCCTGATATGGACTTAATTGGACGTTTGATAAAACAACCAAGAAAGCACATATCAGAACATATGACTAAACAGTTTAAAGAAATGCTATGTCAAATAGCAGATAAGAGTTCAGTCATCCAGCAAACCTTATGATATGACTATGAATACAGGTAGTCCCCAGTTTAAGAACAAGTTCCCAAGGTCTGTCCTTAAGTTGTATTTGCATGTAAGTCGGAACAGTATTATTGTATAATACTGTATAAGTAGTATTGTGAAATGAACTCAAATGATTGTGTATTTAACTTGAATTTTGCTACAATAGGCTCTGTTCTTAACTATGGGTCATCTATAACCTGGGCGTTCTTAGCCTGTAATGTTCTTTAGATAAGCAGAGGTTCAAAAGAATATTTCTGAAATTAAGATTGAACTGGCAGATATACAAGACCATAATAAAAAGATGATTTAAGGAGTAAAGAAGTCCCAGAGACTACAGGAATGATTGACTTATCTTGCTCAGATCCAAAATTATTGTAAAAAGATCAGTATCATAAAATATTGATATTGTATAGTAATATATAAAGATCAGTGTGCTCACCAGATTTATTCTCCTAGGAACATGTGGAAACCTAGAAGTGTTTTATTTATATTTGTTAAGTCAAGTTTCTTTATTTTGGTCAACAACCAGCTACTCTAACAAAAAAACAATTATACAAAAAATGCATGAGCTGGAGGAGATCAAATGGAATGATAAGAGTGTTCTTCCAAGATATTGGCATGGCTATGCTGTAGTAAAGAAAGTAATTTAAACCATGGACAGAAAAACTTAGGCAGCACAAGATTTGTTATCAGTGGAGAATTCCATTTAAACTAATTATTTTTATGCCACAAGGAAGAAAATTTATTTCAGCTGAGTGAAATGCAGCTTGTTGGCAGAGTTCATTAACAAAGTGCAAAAGAAGCAATTAATAACTTGGAACTTGGGAAAGTTGGCTCAACTATAAACTGACAATAAAAATGCTGTTTCAGGCTGCAAAGCAAATGAAATTACACTGAATATATTAACTCTTTTTGAGCTTCTAGATTTAGAAGAAGAAAAAAATTAAATTAAATTATGAGTTAACTCCCCCCACAGTGTCTATCTTTTAAATAATACTTTATTTTCTTTGCAATTACACACTTTCCATGTGAATTCTTAAGCGATACTGTACAGAGCTTGAAATGGCAAAACAAAACTAGAAACATGAAATACAGCATAAATGTTGAATGAATAATTTATTGATTGAACTGACTGATTGAATTGGATTTGTTGCCTTCTGCAGTCAAATGACTTTACATCTTACAGTATCATCCAGTACATTAAAATGTCTACAGTATAACACTAATAATATAAAAGTAAAACTTGAAAAATGTACTTCTAATAAAATACAGAAAAGGAAACTTCAAAATTTATTAATAAATAAATAGATGGCAGCAGTCACAACTCTTCTAAATAACTCTGTTTTGAGTAATTTATGAAATGCTAATAAAGTGGGGGCCTGATCATATCCCAAGGGGGATGCTATTCCACAGGGCAGGTACAGCAACAGAGAAGCAATGTCTGCAAACATCTCTTTTAAATTGTGCAAGTGGGACCATTAGCCTGTTTTCCCGGACATCTGTGTCAGGTGCGTCTAGACTGTTTGAAGAAAATACTTTTTGGAGATACATCAGAGCCAAACTATGAAGGGTTTTAAAAGAGTTCAGATTATACTTTGAAGCCAAAAGAAAGCCACTACAAGGCCTAGAGCCCAGGTATAATGTGCTCATGTTGGTATGTACCCAGTAGAATCCAGGATAGGACATGTCCCTTTGAGACATGATAATCTATTCAACTAATTAAGTGGAATACGAAAACATTGTTACTCATTTATACCAAAATACAGTCCTGTGCATTACTGCTTATCAAATGAAATATTTATCTTTTAACTTTTCACTTGATTCAAGCCTGTAGAAGGAATAAAATGCCTCGCTTCTTTTTATCATAATTTATACATATTCTCCTTTATTTTGCAAGGTGGAGTTGGTATGAATCTTACAGCAGCAGATACAGTTATTTTTGTTGACAGTGATTTTAATCCACAAAATGATGTGCAAGCAACAGCAAGAGCCCACAGGATTGGCCAGAAGAAGTGAGGAAAAATGTTCTTGTGCATGTAAATGTGTGGTTTTTTCCCATAAGGGCATGTTTCACAAATCCTGCCATATTGTTGCAGCCCCTCCCCCTCCCCCCTAAAAAGCATAGTTACAACTAAGGAATGTCTAAGACTCAAAGTACAGCACCAGTTATGTAATGTATATGGAAGCTGCAGGAATCGTTCAAAGTACAGTAGGCTTGAAACTGATACCCAGGAGCTATTATGAACACTCCAGCTAGTAGCAGCACTTGGAAGTCACTAGGACAAGTCCCGAGCCAAGGCTATCCACAACTAGGGGACCCTTGGCTCTATCATAATAGTGGGAAGAAACAAATGGCTACATATCTCCTATTATCTAAGATGTTGTACTTATTTTCTACATTTTCCATAACATTGCTTATCAGTGGTGAGTATGTATCTCATTGAAGAAACAGTGCGACTTTAGTATTTCCAATTAAGTATTCCATACAATGCTCTAGTTATCAGCAAAAGAACCCTGCGCCACAAATTGTTCAGGAGGTTTTAATCATTCTCTTCATAAAGTCTTTGCTCCATAAATGGACTCTTTCCAAGAAAACTGGAGGGAAAGTGCATGACAGACAAAACTATCGTGATAAGCTTCAAAGTTTTAATAGCTCGCAAAGATATGTGTCCAACAAGATGACTGCTTTCAGTCATTTTACCCTTGTCAATTACCATTTTGAATCTTTTGAAAAATATTTTTATAAACATTTTTATAAATAGTCTCAGTTGACCTTAAACCTATCTGTACTTATCGCAGAACAATGTGTGTTGCTATGCTAGTGTGTGGAGGAAATAAAAGAAAATGCAGTAGCACATATGGCTGAAGAACAAGAACACAGTAGAACTTAAGATCGATTCCTTTGCAGTTGTTCTGTTGGCATTCGGGCAGGGCAGGTAATGGCCACGTTTCAGCTATAGCTTTTATAGTTCTGTGCCAGTGACATATTGGATGAGATGAGTTAAATTCGAAAACATCAGAAGGGCACCAAATAGCCAATCCTGTATTAGAGTATTTTAGCATTTACATACATACATAATTTGTCATCTTACAGTCCAAAATGCTTCAGTCTAACTGAAGTTGGAGTGCGAAAATAACTGGAAGGCCACAGGGCCCCCATCTTTATTTTGGGGACCCTTTTGCCTCCAGTTTTGTGGCAGCAAAGCTAGAAATCCTGCAGCAATGAGACCTGGGAGGGATGTTAGCCATATCCTGCTGCTCTATATGTGACTACAAATAATTATATTAATATACATCTTATTGTCCTATTTTAAAGACCAGTAAAAATTATCCGTTTGATTGGGAGAGACACTGTAGAAGAAATTATCTACCGACGAGCAATATCAAAACTCCAACTAACTAATACCATTATTGAAGGGGGGCAGTTTGCACTTGGAGCTCACAAAACTCAGGAAATAGCAGATGTTCAGGTAAGAGAAGCCAAAAAGCATCATCTAAAAATCGCAGAGAACAGCAGAGGAAACATAGGTGTATAACCCTAGAAATTAAATCTGTTTTTCCTGTTCGTTTTTAATTCTGGCAAGTATCAAAATTTTCTGCATAAAGTATAAGACATTTGCTTATCACTGATACACAACACAAACTCTTATTTCTGAATCCTGATAGTGATTTAAAGTTGCTTAATTTCCTGTGAAGGTTCTTTTTCCTGATCCCTGTGCAAAATGTGCCTGTATAGAATAATTATTCATCTCATACTAGGCTTGATCTTTGGAAGGAGGTTGCCTCTTCAAATTACTTACTTTGAAGGTGCCATTCCTGATTATTATTACAACATCATAACAAGTGAACTTTCCATCCTCTGGGGAGAATCCTTATTTAATTTGCTATAGAGACAAGTCATCTTCATCCTGACATGTCCTTTCTTCCTAAGTTTGTTTTCTCCAGCATATTTATTGTAGACAAGTAGGAGTCTGTTGGTAAACAAGTATGATGTTCCACAAGACAACAGTACAGTAATATAATAAGGAATGCTTTGATTTAACCTAGAACAGTGTTTCTTAAACTTTTTTCTCTCAGGACCCCTTCCCACTTATAAAAATTATGGAAGACCCCAAACGAGCTTTTGTATGGGTTATATTTATATTTATTGATATTTACCGTATTAAAAATTAAAATTGATGCATTTGCTGCCACTACCACTCCTCACAACTGTTTTTTGATTATATTATTTTTCAACGTAGGCTGGCAAATAATTTTGATTTCACGGATTCCTGAGAAGGTCTTGGGGGACCTCCAGAGGTCCTCAGACCACACTTTAAGAAACATTGGTCTAGAACAACTTTCTAAAAGAAACATGGAAATGAGAATGAGATCTGTTAACTGTCACTATTTTCTCTCTTGTTCTTAAAGCTAAATGAAATCCTGAAGTTTGGTTTGGACAAATTGTTGTCATCGGAAGGGAGTACTGTCTGTGATATAGACCTGGGAAGTATCCTTGGGGAGACAAGAGGAGGAATATGGTTAATGGATCCAGTGCAGTCAATCACAGAAATAAATGAAGAGCAAACTTTGGAAAGTAAGTTGATGGGTCTAACAGAAATATAAAATACAATAGGAATCAGACTCATCCTCATTTGGAACTCAAATTTATTTCTGAATATTAACATTACTTAGGAATCTATTTCTAAATATTAACATTACTGTCCATATCTTTCTAATCTCTTTGCCAAAGTTACTTTTAGGCATGCACATAGTTGGTATTATGGTTTGCTGAACAAACTGGGGTGGTCTGGTTCACTCATAATGCTAAGCTGTAGGTAGCTACGTGCACCCTGAGACCCCTGAATCATATATGGCCTCTGAATACCTTGAGTGAGGCCACCAGAGCCCCTGCTGATGTTGCCACTAAATTGTAATTTTTATGGAATACAAGGAAGATATCATTAAGTACATGGAGAGAAAACATATTTGTTTAATTCAATTTAAATCAATTTTAGTTTTTATCTTGACAAGTTTTACTTTTCAGAATGTGGCTCTCGTCATGCCACTTTAAGGCTAAATGCCACTCTTGGCTCTAAAGAAGTTTACAACCCATAAGAAACTCTGGCTTAAAATAACAGTGGCTGGGTTTGCACATGGCATTAAATCAAACCAAACCATACTATATGTAGCTTAGCACAATGTATGAATTCTATAGTGTATATAGCATATGATGTATTAAGTGGGATGGGTGCACCTGCTGTGTAGAGCAGGAGTGTAGTCTAGTGGTTGAAGTGTTGGACGGGGGCAGGGAGACCTGAGTTCATATCTCCCCTTAGCCATGGATGCTCACAGAGGGATTTTGGGCCAGCCCAGCAGGTTACATGTGGTTTTACTGAGGAAAATTGGAAGTGGGAATGCTGCGTATACTGCCACGAACTCATAGATGAAAGATGTGATGCAGAACTAAAAAATAAAGAATAATTGGAATTGAATAATCTTCATGTGTCCTACTCAACTACGCTTTTTGCAGCTTAACTCTTTGCTTGTATTTGAAGTGAACTGGAAATAAAGCATTTGAAATGACAGGATGCAGTCTTTTCATATCTGTAAAAAAAAACCCAATCCACATGCTTCTTTCTCCCCTCCCCACCCCACAAAAAGGGCAGATACAGGAACAAAGAAAATATACAGGCTGCCCCTGTCACTCCTAGTTTAGAACTAGAAGATAACAGAATGTGCTGAGGGAGGGAATAAAGTTGGAGGGAAATTCTGACTTCTTTACATATTGAGTACTGAATTCTTACTCACAATTTACATATCTAAATCTTTTCTGATTTCTGAATTTATTCAAGAAAAGAATATCAAAATGTTATCAGATTTGATTGGATAGAGAAGGATGTTACATTTATCAATAATTTGGGGATGCTTGAGCGGCAAAACCTTTTAAAATGTTGTAAACTTGGCTTCAGCATGAAACAGCAAATAATATTGCAGAAAATAGATCTGAACCCACAGACTTTCTCACTCTGGAATTTGTTACATTTGTTTCCTTTCAGAATATAAAAGTTGACCAGAAAAGAGTTAATTTAGGATACTGAAAAATAAATTTCTTTATTATACATTTCTCTAATTAAATCTTTTTTATTATTTTTTTTCAGGTTGATACTAGTACAGATTTCCTGTTAAGATATAGGTAGTGGATTGCCTAATTAAAGTTCATTGTAGTGGGGTTTTTTTCACAGATGCTAAATAAGGGGTCATGAAGGGATAACTTCATAAAACAGGGTAGCTGTAAGAAATATTACAATGCTGGAGCTAATCTTAAGTCAAAATCTCTGTCACATTAATGGTTCATTTTGTTTTTAAGGCCACATGTACATATTTGAGGGCAAGGACTATTCCAAGGAGGCGAGCCAAGACGACAAGAAGGCATATGATCGTTTGCTAGGATTTCAGAAAGTTATCCTTGAAGACTTCAGTCAAGGAGGAAGAATTCTCCGAAATAAAGAAAATGTAAGAATAGTGTGACATTCGATACTTCGATGAGTGTACCAGAAAAAACTCAACTGGAGTTTGTATGCAGACATAATGAGACGTAGGCTGGAAAAATAATTTCTACTGTTAACTTCTACAGTATGCCCTTCAGATTAAATTTTATCCTATGTTTGGCTGAATTTATTCAGCAGTTTCTACAGATACTCTATCCATCAATTTCTAGTCAGCCCTGAATTTTAATACTTCACAAAACATTAGGTACTGATGAGCAATTATTTTAGTGGGGGAAGTAGCAAGTTATAATTATACAGACGGCTTTTCAGGCCAAATAATCTGGAATGTCTTGTTAGTCAATATAGTGGTGTGCTCTCGCTGACTTTTGATAAAGTCCCTGGGAAATTGACAAGAACCTCTGCTGTGTTGGATGAAGGGGGATATAGAAGCAATTTGAGATAGAAAAAGAGATTGTAACCCGTAGATTGTTTTTGAAGATTGTCATGACCGTTCATATGGGACCTAGTAAAAAAAGGCGTAAACTGAGCCCAGAAGAGCTGGAAGTTCAACAGAGAAAACTGCAGGAGGCAGCAGCAAAGAGGGCCAGGCTCAGAGAAGAGAAGAGGCAGAGGGCAGCAGAGACCGAACAGCGGGAAAAGTAAGTTTTTTGCATGCTTTTTGCTTTTTGCTGCCTGTTCTATTGTGCTTCAGTGAAAGAGCATTTGGAGACTAGCACACTATTACTAGCAGCTGTTCCTTTCTCTGCATTCTATTTGTCTGGGATTTCTGTAGAATATGGGCTGCTTTCATATTACTGTTCCAGTGGTCCTGAAGCAGGCTTGAACTCAGCTGATGTTAAAGATTTTGTTACAATAAAATCGACTATGTGTTGTTTATACAAAATAAAAAGAAATATTTTTTAATTTAATTCAGGATAGCCTTGTGGGAAGCCAATCACTATCAGTCTTGCTGCCTTGAGTCAGAAGAAAGCAGTGAGGAGGAAGAGGAAGTAGAGGAAAAAAGTCAACTGGATTTAGAACATACAGACCCTGAACTGACATCTATCAAGTATATTATGGGTGATGTTACCCACCCCATAGTAGGAGATGAGGATGCCATAATTGTCCACTGTGTAGGTACGTTAAGTAAACTTTAGGATAAAGGCCTATATTTTGTGCATTGTATTAATTAACTGGATTTTTTTACATGTATAGCTCCACAAACATATTCTTATTTATTATTTGCTTTATTGAAAGAGAAAGCTGCAGGTGGAATCAAGCATAATTTCCCTCTAATCCTATCCAATAGGAGGAGAGCTCTAGATGTTTGGAAACCTCTGCTAATAGAATTTTAGACTGATGTAAAAAATGTGGATTTTTTTTTTTTTTATCT